CACTCGACTAGGACTCCAAAACAAGCAACTCCAGTATATGTGAATTTCCCACCGAGGACGATGCTAGCAATTTCTCCCACGTCCCCACTTCCATCACTAGCATCCCAAACATTAATCATCTCCCTTACCACCACCATTCCCCAATCCATAACTCCACACCTCCTGTCCTCTGTCCAAATGAACCCAGGAACCTTGATCCAATTGAGGAAAACCAAACTTGCAGTGAACCCGATAATGACATCCCAAGTGCTTCCTTCTTTACTTGTTGCCTTGTGCAATTCATGAGCTTCGTGCAACCCCTAGCTTCCACATAAATTTGGTCCCATTTGCTCACATCGGTTCTTGCCACGAAATGGCTCAAGTGTGCTTCAACACCGGGGGTTGCATTCATGAAGACAACCACACCTCTAGCCAGCCCATCAGTAGTCAACTCACTAGATTTCACAGTAGATTCATACTCTACAACCTCGATTGTTATAATAAAATGTCCTTGATCTCGCCTTTCTGTACTTCAGCATTCGATGCAAACTCTTGCTCCTCAATTATTTCACCCAGCAACTGACCGCCCACTAGACTCCCATCATTGCACTCTTCATTAACTACACGACACTTCATGTTCACTCTGTACTTGACTTGGATCGATTAAACGAGCTTCTCGTTTTGGCCGAGATCCCGGCGTCACAGGCTGTTTCCCCTTCCGTGATATCGGCTAAAGCAAAAAGGGTCTCAACTGACGCCGCAAACATCCGCGACACGACCAAAGAGGTTGAAACTCGGCCGAGATTCTCAGCCATAGTAATGGCACTTGCTGCTGTCTCCTTGTATTCCTTTTGAAGCTTTGACGCCACAAAGTCTCCAGGACAACGGAAGCCAATATGTGTCATGTACTTCTCTTCATCAATGGCTTGTTGTGGTGACTTCAGCGTCATTAACGGCAGTGACCACAGTTCTCCTGCGACCTGCACCCGGAACCGCATTGTCGGTGGACTTGCGATCCCTCCCGCGGCGACTCCTTCTTCCTCGTCCTTAGATCCCTTACCCGCTGTCTCCCAGAAGCTCACCTCCTGCTTCACACTTCCCGACGCCTCCACTTTCGGCGGCTCGTTCTTTGCCCCAACGTCCCACGTTACCTCGTCACAAGCAACCGACGTCGACACGGTATGCTTCTCAACAGCGATCACCTCCAAGGCATCTACCGAGACCCCCATGGCCTCCTCGTCTGGCTCTCGACAATTCTCAGCTCTGTCGTCGTCCTCCTCTGCCAACACACCGTCGTGTTCGTCATCCTTTTCATCGCTCGATGCAGCCAAGGAAGCAGAGATCGCCTTTGCCGCCGCGTCGACTACGCCTGCCTGCTGCGCCGCCACCTCGGTCAATCCCATCGGGTCGGGTTTGGTCGCCCTAGGACCCGCGCTTGTGGCTATCGCGAGCCTCGCTCGCGGGGCCTCGCCGTCTCGTCGTAGTTCTTCCATGTCTTGCCTGAACTCGGCCAAAGTTTGGCGAATCCTTGCCTGGAACTGCATGGTGATTTGGTCCCCGTGTGAGAGTGGTTGTGAACTCATATCGAATGAGGCTCTGATACCAATTAATAGGAACAAAGTTCCTATCGGTTTTGATATTTGGGGATTAGGGTTTATACAAATAGAATTAGGGATTTAGATTAGGATTTGGGGAAGAACAAGAACAGAATCGACCTAGGCCTTAGAGGGATTGGGATATTAGGGTTTGAGAGATTTTCTTAATATTCTTCTTATTGATTATGAATGAATGACAAAGTACATATATATAGGAAATTACTAGAAAACCCTAATACACTATCCTAATATGACTGAAAGACTACTAACCATATTGATAATAATCGTAATAAATAATATAGTAATTATGAATAATCGTGTTTCCATCACTTCGTACAAAATGTTAAATAAGATTTGTATATGACATAAAAAAAAAAACATGAGACAAGTAAACAATATGACTGTGCTATCACCTTTGAAAATATAGTTTAAACGAACACAACAACCTTGCAAACAATACTCATATTAAATACTCTCAAATTACAAGCAATTCATAACATAATTTCACAAAACAACAAAACTCATAGAAAATGAAAGCCTCAAATAGTAGAATACAAGTTAATAATATAAAGGATTTCATCTCAAATAATTCTTATAATTATTCCATATATGCTAGCCATTACTGCCTCATAATAACACTCCTGCTTTAGAATCCTCATCGCATCATTCATAAGTTTTCTTACTTTATTGTTGTAGCTCTTTTTCGACTTCGACAAGTAGTTCATCGTCATGATCCACATCCTCAAAATTTTGTGTAAAATGCAAAATGCAAAGATAATGTACGTAGTCGTGTGAAATGAAAATTGGGGTTCAGCACCACTCTGTATGATCATAAACTTTTTTCCAAAAATCCAAATTATCGTTCTATATCATTACTTAGAACTGAATCTCGATGATTGAGTAGCTCTCTAGCATTCTTAGGTCCATTGTGAGTATACACCCTTAGGTGGTAACGAACATTGCCTATGTGGAGTCAATAATGAGCCCTTTAACATAAAACCACAATCACCAAGATTGTATTTTTCCTAAGCACAGAGAACAATCACAAGATCAAATTTATGGGATGTCAATTCTATCAAGCCCAACAAATGCACTTTTTAAAATTAATGAATCAGATGAAGTTCCCTCCCACCCCGCAACACATATGCAAATTGCATGTCAAAGCTACAACAAGCTAATAGATTCTGTGTAGGCCACTCCTTCCGACCATGAAATCTTGGATGGTCATCACGATGAACTTTCACACAAAAATGAGATCCATCAACAACACCAACGCAATCCTGTATATTTGTAATATAATTATAATATTTTTCAGAACTTTGCTACGATGACTTGCAACTCATCATGACTTGGAGAAAACTATATACCTCTTCCACTAGACAGTCGATCTCTTTCCAAGAAATCGGTCTATTGCTTCCACCAAGCGGTCTACCCCTTTCATCAAGCGATCTAGTGCTTCCAACAATCGCTCAACCAGATGAACCATTTCTAATGACAACATTATTTAGGAAATTCCTACAATACCTTGAAGTTATGGTAACTTGATGTTTTTGACCTGCTACAATAGGTTTCACAAGTCGCATTACGTAAAATACAATAGGAATTACACAAGGTTCAAGAAAGCGCTAGGCGTAAGTCAGGCGTTGGTCTCCTGACTAGCGCCTAGGCGTGCGGAGAAAATTTGGAAAAAAATCTCATAATTTTTAGTATTCTAGAGTAACTTCATATGATAACAACAAGCAAGTAGTGCCCATTTGTCCATAAAGTTCATAGAAAGTAGAAACACTAAACAGTAAGCATATAAAAACAAGATCATTCCTCATCATCCAAATAGATCCGTCCAGCCACCACTTCATCTTCATCATCTTCAAAGGCAATCTCCTCACCATCTTCTTCTTCCTCCTCCTCTTCGGACTCAAAATTCTTCATCATGGAGCTCTCTCACTCTTGCACTCCTGCGAAGCTCAAGTTGTTCACTAGCCATTGCATCTGTAACTCCACTCAAGGGTGGACCATCTGCTTCCTCATCCTCATCCATGAACACATACATAGCATGATCATCTCCTCCCTCAAACAGGAAACCTTGTGCTTCAGTTGCATCAGTACTTAGGAGAATATCAATGTTCTTTTTCTCTTTTATCCTCTTCTTCTTGGCCATCAACCTCGAGTTGAACTGTATGTACACTAATTGATTGAGACGATCTGTTGAAAGTCTATTCCTTCTCTTGGTATGTATCTACAAGTAAAACATTGCAATGCATGAGGAATTTAGAATATGAAATATGAATATGCTCTATGGACTATAGATAGAGAATTAACTACTTACCGACTCAAAGGTACTCCAGTTTCTCTCACAGCCAGAAGAACTTGAGGTCAATGAAAGGATCCTCATAGCCATCTTCTGTAAGTTTGGTGTATCAACTCCATACATTCTCCACCAAGCCACTAGGCAAAACATTGGTACTAAATTAGAGTTATGAATAACTAGAAAAATAAATCAAAGGTATGAAGTAGTAGTGTACTAACCAGGATTGTAATCAAAGTTCTGACAAGTCCTTGCAAGCTTCTTCCCGAATGCGCCTTCTTTCTTTTGAAATTTCTGAAATTCATAGTTCACAACCTGATCTTGCTTGTCATCATCACCACTATAAAATGTCTCAACACAATCCATGAATGATGTAGTAATGTTTCCATCATCAAAGATAGACTCATCAGCATAGCTATAATGTGGACTCAACATATATGCAGTGCAATGCAATGGTGCATCAAGTCTTCCTTTCATCTTCTTGTCAACAATGGTCATGACTTCTTTGTAGCGAATTTCCACATTGCTAAATGCCTCTTTGATCTCCCTCTTTGCCTTCACAATTTCTCCATATACAAAACCCATGGATGGTTTGACATCTCCATCAACCAAACGAAGAACTCTTACCAATGGCTCAAAAACCTTCAAGCAAAGGTGAACACCTTTCCAAAAAGTGTTATTTAGCACTGTTGATGTTGCATCTTTGCCCTTCTTTGTGTGCACATCTTTTAAGCTCTCCCACTTTGTATCCACTACCATCTTCCTCAGTGCATCCTTCTTATCCATTAAGCTTTGCAATGTGAGATATTGAGAAGCAAAACGAGTTACTCCCGGCCTTATGATTTCTCTCTTCTTGGTGAATAACCTCATACATTCCAATGTACGATGATGCCCATAAATGAAGATAGTAAAACTCTTAGCTTGATCAATTACCTTCTTGAACTTTGGCAAGTTGCCAATTCCTTGAAGCATCAAGTTGATTGTGTGAGTTGCACAAGAGCTCCAAAAAATATTTGGCCTTTTCTCCAACAAGAGTTTCTTTGCTCCCATATTATTGGAAGCATTGTCGGTCACAACCTGCACCACATGTTCAGCACCTAACTCCTCGATTGTTCTGTCCACTAGGTTGAAGATGACCTCACTTGTGTGTGACACATCTGATGTGTCATTTGACTTAATGAAGCTTGTTCCCTCAGCACAATGTGTGCTAGGTTCATTATGCTTCTTCTCTTCATATCTGTCCATGCATCAGTCATAATAGAGCAACCATTCCTCATCTTCTCATCATCACGATCCTTGAGCAAACTTTTTGTTCTTGCATATTCTGATTTCAGCATAGGCTCTCTAAGATCATACTGAGTAGGAGGTATAAATCCAGGGGCAAACTGACCAATAGCCTCACACATTTGCTTGAACTCATCATTATCTATTGCATTGAATGGTACAGCTGCAAAAATAAACACACAAATTAATTACACAATCATAAAAAGGAAGATACACTAAATAGAAATTAAAGCATATTGCTTACCATGTGTATACACCCATCTTGCAACATATTGTTGCACTTGAAGTGTTCTCTCTTCCCAAAGTGCTTTGTTTAATTTTTGTTGATGAAGTGCTGCAGATGAAGACAACTTAGGATCAATAGTACGTGCCCACTTATCCATAGGCCCTAACTTGTGAGGTTCTGAGCTACCAACACAAGTCATTTCTTCATCTTGTTGTCCAGAGGAAACAATCACATCATCTCTTAATTTTCGTTCATGGGTAGCCTTATCTTCCTTCTTTTTTGCATTTTTCTCCATAGCTTTCAAGCATGCTTCTTTAGCTTCTTGTTTGGCCTTGGTGCATTTAAGCACAGTACTTGCATTTTGAGCAATGTGTTGCTTGAAACGAAAGATTCCTCCAGTACTTTCATGGCCATAAAAATTGCACCGCACCTTATCCTTGTTGTTAGGATCCACCAATCTCCCATATTCCCAACCTACATCGCCAGATTTCCTCTTAAAAACATTGGTATTCTCTTTATTTGTCACTACTGTCGTTGAAGCATTAACATCATTCATTGTGGAATCTAGTATAGATAAACCTGTTATAGAAAAAAATTTGATAAACAATTGGGAAATCATGATTAGAAAAGGAGAAACATCTTATTGCCTAATATATAGGCTAATAGCCTAGCATTAATTTAGGTTTCACAACTAATTATTCTAGCCTAGCTAGTAGAAGAGGTTTAATTAAAACTTCAAACAAATCATGAATAAAGAGGCATATGATGTACAGAAAAGTGGCTGGGGAACCAATAAGTGGGGTCGGATTTTACAACACATTCAAACAAAAAGAAAACATATTTTATTTTGAGCAAGTGAAGGTATAAGAGAATTATTTGGCAGAATGCGTCTCAAATTCCCATATGTGTTTCCAAGTGTGGGGTTCTACTTAGCTTGATTTTGTATATTTTAATCAAGGAAATATTTAGTGTTGCAATTTAGCTCTTGCGTCCCCAACCACTAGAAGAAAACATTGACCAAAGAAGTAGCAGCTCCCCTCTCTAATAATGATAATAAAAACTCCCACACCCATCCAACCACCAGTTTCCCCTCTGTAATTCACGGTAGCAAGCAAGAATCACCGACTGAGAAGAGAGAGAGAGAGAGGCAGAGGACTTACCAACTGCAGCAAAATGCGAGCTCCTCCAAGTTTCTCTATCAACGCCAGCCGACTGAAGAGAGAAGAAGTAGAAGCTGGAGCCTTGAAGAGAAACAGGGATGAAGGGCGAAGGAGTAGCAGCTAAAGCTCGGGAGAGGAAGAGGGACGGCGAAGGCTGTTGGTTTCCTGTGGTCGTGGGTATCGATTTCCAATTGAATAATTAATTCTCATTTTCTAAACCTAGCAAGCAACAAGAGATAGAAACGGTAGCGTAGGGGTTGAGATGGATAGCGCCTAGCAATTAATTAGCAAGCCTAGGCGGCCGCTTAGTCTCACTCGGCACCGCTTAGGCGCTATTAATCAAATTTAAGCGCGCCCAGCGCTTTGTTGAGCGCCTATGCCCAAAGCGAAGCGTTCTTCCATTGCCTAGCACTTAATTGAGCCTAGGCGTGCGCCTAGCCGTGCTTTCTTGAACCTTGGCATTACGTAATGGTTACATAATATGTGTTTATCTTACGTAATAGTTGAAAAATGTTATTACGGAAATCTTACGTAATAGACACTCATTTTACGTAATGAATATTAACCTTTCATTACGTAATCTGTTGAATCATTACGGAAGGCTTACGTAACACTTATAATTTAACTGTTACGTAAGAAATAACTATCGTTACGTAACCTTTACGTAATAGATGTGTACTTTACTTAACAGTTGTAAAGTGGCATTACGGAAGCCTTACGTAATGGATGGTCCTTTTACGTAATGATATTAATCAAGTTACGTAATGTGGTAAGTCATTACGGAAGTCTTACGTAACACTTCTAATTTAATCGTTACGTAAGAAATAACCTTCGTTACGTAACCTTAACGTAATGAGCGTGTATTTTATGTAACAGTTTTAAAATATCATTACGGAAGCCTTATGTAATAGACGATGTTTTTACGTAATGAATATTAATATAGCGTTACGTAAAATGATAAGTCGTTACAGAAACCTTCCGTAACGCTTCTATTTTAACTGTTACGTAAAACTAACAAGCATTACGTAATTGTTACGTAATAAACATTAGTTTTACGTAACGCGACCTATAAAACCTGCTATAGCAGGTAAAAAACGTCAAGTTATAGTAACTTCAAAGCATGGTAGGAGGTCCCCAGTATTTATAATTAGAGGATTCCCATATTAATAGATATGTTTGCTGATAAGAAAGTTAAAATTAGTACAAAGGCTGTAGCATAGATAAGAAGTTTCTCGGGTGACTTGGAAAATGTTTTGCATATTTATTTCTTAGATTTGACTTATTTTATAGAGACTTTCATCTTTCTTTTTGCTTGTTTTTATCCTATAGTTGTCTTGTGATGCATCAACATTGTTGCTATTGTTGTTAATATGGTGTTATTTTTTTTTTGTCTAGGTGTATAATATGCACAGAGATTTGGTTACCCACGGGTGATAGGATGTTTCATTACTATAAAATAATTTAGTATTGTATGCCTCCTATTATCCATTATTATCGTAATGTAAGTAGAAGGTAACTGTGTCATTTGGTCGACCGTTCAATGGAAGCAGTAGATCATTCTTTGAAAGTAGTACACCGTTTGTCGAAATTGGTAGACCGTTTGCCGAAAGTGGTCTACCACTTCCAACAAGCGGTTGTAAGTTGATATTAAGTGTGTCATCAGGTCGACCGCTTGCTGAAAGTGGTAGACTGCTTGCCTGAAGTTGTGCACCACTTGATGGAAGTGTTGGATAATTTTCTTGGAAGTAGGCAACCAATTTAAGGAAGATGTAGACCAATTTCTTGTAAAGTGGTTGACCACTTTATGAAAAAGGTAAACTGCTTTCTCCAAGTCGCCATATGCATACCCTATTTTTTATAGTTAAAAAGTTTTTTATAGTTGAAAAAACTATGTTATTTACCTAAAATAGGGATAAAATCTAGGATTATCACGAATTTTAGATCCCATGGGAGTAGTGGTTGTCGGTTGTAGTAAGAGTTGAGGTTCTAGGCCTAAGAATGCTCGCCAAACATTGTGAAATTGACGATGAATAGTTTCATTATTCCGCTAGTAATGAAGACACATATTAGTAAAGTTCACACCAGCTTTGTCAAATAATTTGCAAAAACATTAGCTACTTGCTTCTCTACCGTGTTGAGTTTATAGATGACTAACAACCCAGTATTCCTCAGCTTCTCGCATAATTCAGCAAATGCATATGAATCATTCTCAAGGCCGAACGACAAAATCAATCTTGGAGGGTTAGGCGTTCCATTAACTCTTGACGTTTTCTTGCTTGGTAACTTTCATGTTGACTTAATGGACCATCAATAGCAGGTTGAAGACAATCCAAAGAATATAGAGCATGAACACTATAACATACTAGTGTAATCACACACGTCTTTCTTTTTCGATGCCAATTATCCATTATCATTTATCAAGCTTGGAGTATAGCATTCTATTCGTAAGATATGGGAACTTCAGTGTCATCAATTTTACCCTCATTGTAAAATACAAGGGCATCATCTCCATTCTAGCCATGCCATTCATTATCTACCTAACAATTGTTGAGACTTTTAGGGAGGAGGGTACACGTACGATAGCCCAAGACCGGGTGACTAGGATTATGATAGAGTCGTGAACTACGTTCACTTTCCGAAAAGAATATTTCCACCCTCTACAAAGCCTTGGGTTACAGGAAATTTCTCCCGAGGATAAAACTATCACCACTTTAGGTTCCAGGCTCAAGAACACTAAAGCATACTTAGAAATTTTTGGAAGAAAGAAGAAGAATATGTTTGATGGTATGTGGCATCATCCACCCCACACATATTTATAGGGGCTTAATCCATGCATTGTTTCACGAAAGGTTGCCTTTATCCATACGAAAGGTTGCCTTTATCCATATGAAAGGTTGCCTCTATCCATATGAAATGTTATCCTTATCCATATGAAGGGTTGCCTCTATCCATAAGGTTATCCTCTATCCATAAGTCAATACAGTGTGCCTTTGACATATCCTAGTACACGCCTCATTTCATTTCAAATGATGAGAACTAGGATTCATCACATACCAACTTAATTGTTCTATCGCATATGCGATATCTAGCATCATGTAAATCATGCATTATTTTATGGATAAGGATAACCTTATGGATAGAGGCAACCCTTCATATGGATAAGGATAACCTTTCATATGGATAGAGGCAACCTTTCATATGGATAAAGGCAACCTTTCGTATGGATAAAGGCAACCTTTCATGAAACAATGCATGGATTCGGCCCCTATAAATATGTGTGGGGTGGATGATGCCAAATACCATCAAACATATTCTTCTTCTTTCTTCCAAAAATTTCTAAGTATGCTTTAGTGTTCTTGAGTCTGGAACCTAAAGTGGTGATAATTTTATCCTCGGGAGAAATTTCCTGTAACCCAAGGCTTTGTAGAGGGTGGAAATATTCTTTTCGGAAAGTGAACGTAGTTCACGACTCTATCATAATCCTAGTCACCCGGTCTTGGGCTATCGTACGTGTACCCTCGTCCCTAAAAGTCCCAACACATGACACGATAATTTGTTATCCATTAACTTTCCAAAATGAAGGCAATAAAGAAAGTAGAAAAAAATAATAAAATCGTAACTACATCTACTAATTATCTAAAATATTGGATAAAAATGAGAAAATACAAGGAAGGAAAATATAATAACAACCCATATGTCACGTAATATATGTGGGCAAATGAATTATTAGAATAAACGAAATGGTTTATTGTTACTATTTTCGTTGTTTAAATTATGATTAGGATTTTGCTCTTCCTTAGTTTTATTAGTTCAGTTGTCATTTGCCTATTTAAACAAATGAGAATAACAAGCAAAGGTAAGATTTGAAGACAAAGCAAAACAATAGTGTGTTTCAGGAGGTGGATTTGCCTATTTAAACAAATGAGAATAACAAGCAAAGGTAAGATTTGAAGACAAAGCAAAACAATAGTGTGTTTCAGGAGGTGGGTAGGTTCTTATAACAAGAACACTGTATTCCTTTAGACTTTACCAAAACCTTCCAAATTATCAATCTTTCTACCTAGTCTTCTTCTTCTTCACGTTCCCACCCCTTTGTCACCATCACCTCTCTACTAATTCCCTTTTTCCTCCATTAAACACCATAGTTTCCATAAATCAAACCCTAAACACTTAGTTCCCTAGACCTATTCCTCATAACAGGGAGCTACTACCCTTTCTAAGTCATAATCACATAACAATCTACTAATTATACTAGCGGCAAAGTTTTTAGTTGAAGAAAAATATATGGAACATAGTAGAATTCAAGATTGAACGAATTAAAAGATATGAAGCCAGGCTCTGGATTCATTAGTCTTTATAGCATCCTGAATCATTTTGCAGATTACTCCTACCTCATTCAGACACAGACACTCTAACCTCGTTTAAGTTTAGTAATAAATTGAATGGGAAGAAAGAAGGTAGAATCGTAGAAGACAATAAATTGGATAGAAAAAAAATGAAAATGATAATAATGGGGGGTGGAAGTGAAACAGTAAACTTACCCTTTTAATGCAATCCCAACCATTGTTGCAAAATAACCAAATAGATGCAAATGTCTTGGTTTCCACCATCCCAAAAATTTACACCCTTTCATTTGTGCCCCTAAACAAACTTAGTGTATATATCTAGCATCTCAACTTATGGTATGGAGTATGTTGAGGATTGGGAAGTTGTGGACAAGAAGAAGGGGATTACATGGACGTAGGTATAGGTGACAAATAAATCAAATTCATGAATTGGTGGATTGAATTAATGAATTCAGGAGACATCTATAATTTTCCTAGTATCCATAAAATCATCAATCCAGTTGAATTTGGATTAGTTGAACATTTTAATGAATGGATTGGTTGAATTGGATTCAAATTTCCACCTCTAAATAGTGACCTCTCAAATCACCTAATGAATGTTCATTGTATCATCTACTGTATGGCGTAAAATGTACATATAATCTTGACACTATCTTTCTCTACAATATCTTGTGCACTAAATTAATCGTCAAATAATCTTTTCATGCTTCAACACAAAAAAAAAAAAGATTCTTCAAATGTAACTTACTATGCAAGACGTACAAGAATGCTAGCCCCAAAACAATGGGAAACAAGTTACTTTTTTAAGTTGAATCTGTCTCAGCCCCAACAAGTTATCAAGAACTAGTTAGGTCTAGCAACTAGAGTGATTAGGATATAATATAGAATAATTCTATATCATTCTTGAACACACCTTTTCAAACGAAAATCAACATATGAGCTTGAAATTTGCATAGATTCTTATGTTTTATGCTTAAATTAATTGTTAATATTGTGGATCAAGTTGATTCCAAAAAGAAACCGCTTGATCATAACATGAAACCTCTTACGTGATTGTGTGGACGATAAACACATTTGTCACATCCTAATTACGACATTGGTTAAGCGTCTCAATATAATGATCAAACTAATGCCACTCTAAACTAGGGTGATGTTGCAGCTGAACTGTAGCAAGATTTTCCAGTTTTCTCTACGAAAAACTTCTGCAGAAAGCAAGGGTTGAAATAAATCCAAAATCCAAAAAAAAACTCTTCAATTTAGGAAAAAACAAAAGCAAGAAACAAGTAAAAGATATAGTTAACCAGCCTAATCAATGGGCCATGATTTTTCTTTGGGTTTTATATTTGGCTCATTCTCAGGTTTGTCTCTCTCTCAATTTCTTGACGATGCCGAATGCAGCACCAGCAACAGCAGCAAAGATCACTGAGATTATGACCGTTGTTTTCAAGCTTTCCGCACGATCCTTATTATCCTCGCTCGCCTTCTTCTTTTCTGCCTCCTCTTTTTCCTGCCATGCCAACACCCAAAAGATTTCTCCATAACTGTTTGTTCTAACAATTATATGTTCAAGAAAACAAATTGAAATTGAAATATGATATTTTTCACGTCAAACAATCCACATTTACATAAGCAAACCACAACCAACGTTTTGCGGTTATCCAACGATCGATAGCAGTAAGATCATGTAAAGAGAAATGCCAAAGATAGTGATAAAGAGTAGAGTACCTTGTTGGCGAGGGAGGCAGCAATGCTGGAGGAAGTGGAATCAACCTCAACTCTTTTGTTGTGGCTAGGATTCAGCTCTTTGTCTACATTAGCCTCTGGAAATGCTTTCTTATCTGAAACGGCTGTCATCTTTTTCTTCCTTCTTCTTTTCTTTCTTTTCTTTTTGGTTCGTTTTGCTACAAGATCTTTGTCTCTTCCTCTGTTGTGTTAGGTTCAGCAACGAAGAAAAAAATACTGGGAGAAAGAGAGAGAAAAGCTCTAAGTTTTTTTTCTCTCTCTTTTATTGCACTCACTAATGAGAGTAAGAAGAGTGACATGTGTCTTGTCCTGGTATGCTACTAAGTTTGTTGCGGTTGTTTTGCTCATCTCCACAAGCTTCCATGAAGATTATATGGGATCCGAAATATAAGTATATAATCAACTGACCAACCAATAAACAAGGATTGAAAGCTGATGTAAGAGTAAGACTTAACTTACTATTTTTAGTAGTGCGGGGTTCACTTAACTCAGAAATACGCTTCCCTTCAGGATTTCTCTTCGTGCTTGGCCCGGTTCTCATGCACCCTTCTTTTCTTACCTGAAAAATTTGGTCACTTTAAAAAGAGAGATCCACTATGCAACTGGATTGCTACAACTTCAAGAATCAACTAAGAACAACAAATGCCCATAACAAGGAATAATGCACGCTTTTGATCCTCAGACCATCCACAATGTGGGAGGGGAAATAGGGAAGGGGGAAGGTTTGACCACAATGGGGGAAGGGAAAGAGGATATTTGGTATGTTATTTTTTCTATAAAATCAATCTATAGTTGATCTCGTCACTTTATTTTAATAATTTGATCATTATTTTCACATAGGTAGTAATAATTAATTAAGATGAAAATTTCGATATATTTTTTTAAATTGGACATAATTTTTTACCACTAATTAAATATGACATCATCAATGAAAAAATCATAATAATTAAATATTATTGTATGTCTTTTGTGCATTTTTGTTGTTGAGTTTTGAACTGATTGTTATCAATGTATTTCCCATATTCGAGTGTCTTAATAAAAAAGTTGTTGCATTAATAATTAAACATAAACATATGATCGTTGAAAAATAAGGCCGTTGGTAGGAAATTTTGTCTGTTGGGGACAAAAAAAAAACCAAATCATTTAATTAAAGAAAAAACATAAAAGACAGATAAACCCGTCGGGCTGCGCGCCTTCCGGTCCCAACCCGCCCCCTCCACCCTCTCTTCCTCCTCTTTTTGTTCGTTTTTTGAGAGTTTTCCCACCCATTTTTCACTACTTTCACTTTTTCCCTTCTCCCCCCACTCACATTGTGGGTAGTCTCAGGAGTTGTTCACATCTAAATATTGAAAACTTGTGAAACAAGCTTGGAGGATCCTATCCTCACCTGATTCACTGTGAGCCAGAATTCTGAAGGGTTTGTATTTCGCTTAATGTGATTTTAGAGATGCCCATAAAAAAAGTAGAGCCTCCTCGATCTGGGCAAGCATTTGTGTTGTTTAGCAATAGATAGGTCATGGTATGATCAGAGTCATAGTAAATTGAACTATGTAAGGACCACGCGAACCTTCAACGATCCATGGATTCTGAAGAAGCCTGATGGGACTATCATAGGACCAGTCAATGATCAAAGGATGGTTTGTGATTTAATCAATCATAACAAAATGATGTGGGATCTCTTGTGGGTTTGGTGGTCAGGTTTTGATGGTGGACCAACAGGCTATCGACATGATCCCCATTGGCTCCCCGTGGATGGAGAATTTTTGGGTGTGGCAATTTACAGCGACGTGACCAAAGGATGTGGGATCTCTAGAGAGTTTGGTGGCCAGGTTTCGATGGTGGACCAACAGGCTATCAGCATGATCCCCATTGGCTCCCCATAGATGGAGGATTTTTGGGTATGGCAATTTACAACGACGGGGGAATACTCAGTTAGTTTTGTCTACCATGCTTTCCATGATAACCACCATTTTGGAACCACTAAGAGTTCAGAGGTTCCCCAGGCGGATAAGGAGAAATGGAAATGGCTTTGGAGCCTCTCCTTGCCACTGAAGATAAAATTCTGCCTCTAGAAGGCATCTAGAGGAGCTTTATTGGCAAAAGAGAACGTTTTCTTCCGACATTGCTCTCCAACACGAGAATGCCTTATCTACTTCCAGATGGAGGAATCCACGCACCATGTTCTCTTTGGATGTGCCCATGTTGGGGAGTCCTTGATGCATCTGGTTCCTCATGTTGCTCTCCCCCCCCCCCCCCTTCTCCTCCCATCCTTGACAGTTATTGATTGGCTTTCGGTGGTTGGGAAGTCTTGCCATTAGGACACTATCCTAAAATTGGTATACCATCTTTGGGACACGAGGAAAGCTCGGAATGAAAAGGTCTTCAAAAATGTCAATCCTTAGCCCACTCGTACCTGCTCAAAGTAATTACAAGAGCTTCAGTAGTGGAAAACTTGCCCAAAAAAGAAGAAAGAGGGTATCAGTGTTTCCAGTCGGTCTACTCCACCCTCATCCAACTCTCCACCACCGTCAGGCAATCTCAATTTCGAGATTCACTATGATGGATTGTTTTTTCATGATACCCAGGACGTGGTATATGGCGTTGTCGTTACGAACAATCATGGTGAGGTTTGTGATGGGAAGGGCGACCCCCTACTCTGCAATTCAGTTTTGGAAGCGGAAGCAATGACATTACAAGAAGGATGTTTGCTGGCATTGGATCTCAATGAACCATGCATGATCCATTCTTATTGTTAAACGTTGGTTGGCACTGTTAGAGGACCAAGGAAGGATTGGCCGTGGGCTGTTGCTGCACGTCTGGATTTCATCGTTTCTCCCCTTCAGCGAGCCCCAAATGTGGGGATTTCTTTCGTGCGACGTGCTTGCAATATTCAAGCCAATTGGGTCGCCCGATCGTGTGCAAAATAGCAGTTGTCGACTGGTTGGATCACCATCCTTAATGTAATTTATCCGCTTCTGTAACCTTTGGCGGAGTTCTCTGAGGTTAATGCAAAGTATTTTGTCATTGATGGTTCAATTAAATATGATAGTTGCAAGGATTAGGAGAGAAGATCTTGCCGAGGGAAATGATGAGAGAGGAAGAAGAGAGAGGAAGCGAGAGAGTGAGAGTGAGCAAAGGAGCGTGGGGTTCTTCCGGCGAGCGCATTCATTTGTTCAGGTCAGTGGCGAATCCTCGGGACTCAAGAGCGGACAAATTCAAGGATCTTCACCTACGTCATGCGAGTTCTGCATTTTTCGGGACATCCATCAGTAATACTGCGGTGTGCATTGAGGAATATGTAACGTCAAGATCGACTTTTCTGAAGATTTCGACAGAAGGTAGCCGCCGCCGAAAGAGGTCTGTGTTCTTGGATCTCGGTCAAGCTGATTGGCTTAGCAAGACCCTTCAAGAAATCTCGTGGAGAGGATGGTATCTTGAAGCAAAGAGACGAAGGAAAACGACCAACTACACTATTCAGATTGACCAATTTGCCTGTTCTAAAGGTCACTTCCTCAAAATCTCAGAGATCCTGGAAAACGGGACAAGATACTATATCTCCATCCCCTTCTCTCCAGATAAATGGGAGGGTTGGTCTCTGGCTTACGCGAAACGAGAAGCAAGAAAGCACTGAGCCCGTCAATCGTTCGTGATGCTTGGGTTACCCAAGGAAAGTCCTATGCTGAAGCGGTGAGATACAAGCTTCCTACGATGTTGGGAACCAACACCATAAAGGAACAGAAGTCCAGTTTCTTCTTGGAGGTGGAAGAAGATGGAGCCCAGGACAGACGTTCCTTCCTCGACAGGTGTCTGACGATTGAATTCTTTGACAACCGGAACAGGGGTATGCCTTTTGAACTCAACAAAAGCTTCAAAGACTGGGTGAGGCGCCACTAGCAGATGACTTAAGACACCTACTTCACTAAGAGGGCCGGAGATTTCTGGCATCTAGTCTGCCCCTCCCTGTCGGAAACAATCAGGATCCAGAGGGATGGTCACACAAAGTTCCGCGACTGGAACGTTTTTCTAAGATTTCGGAAAGAAGATGCAAGCCGAAAATTTTCACCGCCGAGTGGTCTAAAATGGATCTGGTTTTTGGAATCCCTCCTTTCCTCCGCTCTGAAGTTGTTATCAAAGGCGTAGGAAAAATCTGCGGTGAGCTCATAGACTACGATGCTGGAGATTGGTTCGACCCTGATATTCGCATCAAAGTTTGACCCCGAGATGACATCCCTGACGAAGTTCCGATCATATTTGGTATTATAGTTTTTGTGGCTAAAATCCTCATCTTGCCGGAACCGGAGCGGCCGACAACTGATTTGAACAGGTACCGGCTCATGAACCAGATCCTCAGTAAACGGGCTCGTGACCCGTAAAGTCGCGGGGAGCCGCGTGCATGGAACTCCTCGGTTACTGCAACGGACGTGAAGAAGGGTTCCTACCCTTTGAACAGTCGTTGAGCAGCACTCCACAACTCCCTGTCGAACACATCTGGGCGCGGGCCCAAGAAGAGTAACATCGGAATGGGCATTAATCACATCTGGCTCCGGAAATTTGGGTCGTTTCCGTGGCCTTCATCAAATGGGCTAATGGATTCGAGCCCAACTCTTAATCCCCGCACCACCTGCAGACTCTCAACCCAAACCCAACCTCCTTTAACCCTCTAGCCTCCTAAACCTTCGAGTAGGCCCAATCTCATCGTCTCCCTCAGAAAACCTCTATCCTTTTCGTTTCCACTCGTCTTGGATTCCCTGCTCTCCCTCCTCCCTGCATTCATTCTAACCCCAACCACACTAAATTACCCTATCAACCCCTTCCACCCCCTCCATCTCCTCCAATGGCTTCCCCCTAACACCTTAACCACCCCTTGCCCTCACCCAACTGATCTTCTCTCTTGTGAGCCTTTCCTCCCCCCGCCTTCTGAGACAACCCCACTTGTTTCGAGTCCCCCCCCTAATCTGAATTTAACCCATCCCTCACCTTGACCTCTCCTGACCCTGATTCGGCTCCGACCAACCCCTGCCTCGCCATTGTCCCTTTCAACCCATTCAACCCCGAGTATATGGATAGTTGGCAATGCAACAGTACCTCCAAGAGCTAGTCTGTCAAATCCTGAATTTCTGCAGAATCCTTTTCCTTCTCGATTCTGATTCAGCACCCCTAGTTGAGAGGAAGATTGCAGACATTGCCACTGAAATTCACAAGAAGAGGAAAAGGA